TTTGATTTGCGTCTCTCTAATGACCAGTGTTGATGAGCATTTTTTCATATGATTGTTGGCCTCATGTATATCTTCTTTTGTAAAGTGTCTGTTCTTATCCTTTGCCCATTTTTGGATGGGCTTGTTTGTTTTTTTCCTGTAAATCTGTTTGAGTTCTTTGTAGATTCTGGATATCAGCCCTTTGTCAGATGGGTAAACTGCAAAAATTTTTTCCCATTCTGTTGGTTGCCGATCCACTCTAGTGACTGTTTCTTTCACTGTGCAGAAGCTGTGGAGTTTGATTAGGTCCCATTTGTCTATTTTGGCTTTTGTTGCCAATGCTTTTGGTGTTTTGGTCATGAAGTCCTTGCCTACTCCTATGTCCTGAATGGTTTTGCTTAGATTTTCTTCTAGGGTTTTTATGGTGCCAGGTCTTATGTTTAAGTCTTTAATCCATCTGGAGTTAATTTTAGTGTAAGGTGTCAGGAAGGGGTCCAGTTTCTGTTTTCTGCACATGACTATCCAGTTTTCCCAACACCATTTATTAAACAGGAAATCCTTTCCTCGTTGCTTGTTTTTGTCAGGTTTATCAAAGATTGTATGGTTGTAGATATGTTGTGTTGCCTCCAATGCCTCTGTTCTGTTCCATTGGTCTATATCTTTGTTTTGGTACCAGTACCAGGCTGTTTTGATTACTGTAGCCTTGTAGTATAGTTTGAAGTTCGGTAGTGTGATGCCTCCCACTGTGTTCTTTTTGCTTAGAATTGACTTGGCTATGCGGGCTCTCTTTTGGTTCCATATGAAGTTCATGGTGGTTTTTTCCAGTTCTGTGAAGAAAGTCAATGGTAGCTTGATGGGAATAGCGTTGATTCGGTAAATTACTTTGGGCAGTATAGCCATTGTCACAATATTGATTCTTCCTAACCATGAACATGGAATGTTTCTTCATCTGTTTGTGTCCTCTCTTATTTCGTTGAGCAGTGGTTTGTAGTTCTCCTTGAAGATGTCCTTTATGTTCCTTGTTAGTTGTATTCCTAGGTATTTTATTCTCTTTGTAGCAATTGTGAATGGCAGTTCATTCTTGATTTGGCTCTCTTTAAGTCTCTTATTGTTGTATAGGAATGCTTGTGATTTTTGCACATTGATTTTATATCCTGAGACTTTGCTGAAGTTGCTTATCAGTTTCAGGAGTTTTTGGGCTGAGACGATGGGATCTTCTAGGTATACTATCATGTCTGCAAATAGAGACAATTTGGCTTCCACCTTTCCTATTTGAATACCCTTTATTTCTTTTTCTTGCCTGATAGCTCTGGCTAGAAGTTCCAGTACTATACTGAATAGAAGTGGTGAAAGAGGGCATCCTTGTCTAGTGCCGGATTTCAAAGGGAATGCTTCCAGTTTTTGCGCATTAAGTATGATATTGGCTGTTGGTTTGTCATAAATAGCTTTTATTACTTTGAGATATGTTCCATCAATACCAAGTTTATTGAGGGTTTTTAGCATAAAGGGCTGTTGAATTTTATCAAATGCCTTCTCTGCATCAATTGAGATAATCATGTGGTTTTTGTTTTTGGTTCTGTTTATGTGGTGAATTACATTTATAGACTTGCGTATGTTGAACCAGCCTTGCATCCCCGAGATGAATCCTACTTGATCATGATGGATAAGTTTTTTAATGTGCTGTTGCAATTGGTTTGTCAGTATTTTATTGAAGATTTTTGCATCTATGTTCATCATGGATATTGGCCTGAGTTTTGTTTTCTTTTTGAGTCTCTGCCGGGTTTTGGTATCAGGATGATGTTGGTCTCATAAAATGATTTGGGAAGGATTCCCTCTTTTTGGATTATTTGGAATAGTTTCAAAAGGAATGGTACCAGCTCCTCTTTGTGTGTCTGGTAGAATTCGGCTGTGAGCCCATCTGGACCTGGGCTTTTTTTGAGTGGTAGGCTCTTAATTGCTGCCTCGACTTCTTACCTTGTTATTGGTTTATTCATAGTTTTGGCTTTCTCCTGGTTTAGGCTTGGGAGGACACAGGTGCCCAGGAATTCATCCATTTTTTCCAGGTTTACTAGTTTATGTGCATAGAGTTGTTTGTAATATTCTCTGATAATGGTTTGAATTTCTGTGGAATCTGTGGTGATTTTCCCTTTATCGTTTTTTATTTCATCTATTTGGTTGTTCTCTCTCTTTTTTTTTTATCAGTCTGGCTAGTGGTCTGTCTATTTTGTTGATCTTTTCAAAAACCAGCTCTTGGATTTATTGATTTTTTTGAAGAGTTTTTCGTGTCTCTATCTCCTTCAGTTCTGCTCTGATCTTAGTTATTTCTTGTCTTCTGCTAGGTTTTGAGTTTTTTTGATCAACCAGACAGAAAATTAACGAGGATATCCAGGGCTTGAACTCAGACCTGGAACAAGCAAACCTGGTGGACATTTACAGAACTCTCCACCCCAAATCTACAGAATATACATTCTTCTCAGCACCACATCACACCTACTCTAAAATTGACCACATAATTGGAAGTAAAAGGACTCCTCAGCAAATGCAAAACAACTGACATCATAACAAACAGTCTCTCAGACCATAGTGCAATCAAGCTAGAACTCAGAATTTAGAAACTAACTCAGAACCGCACAGCTTCATGGAAACTGAACAACTGGCTCTTGAATGTTGACTCGATAAACAAAGGAATGAAGGCAGAAATAAAGAAGTTCTTCAAAACCAGCAAGAACAAAGACACAACATACCAGAATCTCTGGGACACATTTAAAGCAGTATCTAGAGGAAAATATATAGCAATAAGTGCCCATATGTGAAGAATGGAGAGATCCAAAATGGACACCCTATTGTCAAAACTGAAAGAGCTAGAGAGCTTATTTTTCTTGTTTCTGTGTGTGAAATTTTCTATGATAATGCTACAATACCTTAAAAATAACAATCATGTTACAACAATACTCAGCACAATTTAATGGGTAGCTTTGTGTATGTTCTTAGGTTAATTATTTCACCTTTCACTACTTCAGTTTCTTTGTCTTCAGAGCAAGGGGATTCACATAGATTCTACATAGCGACCTGTCTTCTAACAACTCTATTTTGTTGTGTGAAAATTTCGCTTACATGCAATAGATATCAACCCATTCAAAATCTTTCACCTTCACAGTAGGTTAATTTTCCATAGGAAAAACACATTTTCTATTAACAACTATATGCATCTCGCCCCAGAAATAATAAATACAAGAATGACAGACTTTTGTGTCTCAGAAATGTTTGACTAAGACAGGAGCCATGAAACTGTGACTTTGGCCATGAAAGGATGGGTGTTATATGGCACATTTGCACCTGGTTTACACAATGAAAACTGGCACTTTCAGACAAGTTAGTGCCCTTTGAGTCAGTCCCTTTTGTGGTACGTAAGGCTCACTGCCATGCACTGCACATACCTGAGTTCTCCCTTGCCCCAGGACAGCCACCATTGCCTGAGTTTACTACCCAGCCTGATAAGTTATTATGTGGACAAGAATGTAGTGGCCATGTACAGCAGTTCCCTTGAAATCTGCACACTCCTTAAAGTCCAACTACATCCAACATGCAAAATATAAAATTAAAAGAAATTCATGAATGGTAAATACTACTGGGTTTAATTTAAAGTATAATTTAAATGAAATAGAGTACTCACTACACATTGGAAAGGAAGAATTTTAAGAAAATCTATATAAATATTTAGAATGTTGGATTTTTGCTGGGTGACGCAGTGATACAAATCCAATATTTGGTGCCAGACAGATTAGCTTGCTAGTCTGATGCTAAGTATTTAGCACCTCTGAGTTTCTGTTACTTCACTGGTAAAATGGGCATGCAGTAGGTTCCTTTCTCCTGTCTTGGATAAGCTGAGTTATCTTGAATTCTGTAATATAATTTATAAAATGTTGGAAATATTTTATACATTTTATACGTGTCTATATTTCCTTTCAAAATTTCCTGGTACATGTGATAGCAATACACCTCCATATCACTGTGCTCTCTTTGCTTACTGATGAAAGAAATAGGGAAGAAAACTAGGCTTTCTCACCACTATGATTACTAATTTGCTAAAGCATTAAATGAATAGCAGATCCCAGGTTCTAATCCTTCACTTCCATAAAGGGATAAAGGCATGTCTATTTTACCTCCAGGTATTTATGCTGTTGTGTTGCTTCTTGAAAATGAGCTATTTATTATATACATAGATAAACCAATTTTTTGCTTTTATTTTTTGAGACCAAGTCTCATTCTGTCATCCAGGCTGGAGTGCAGTGGCACAATCTCAGCCCACTGCAACCTACACCTCCCAGGTACAAGTGATTCTCCCACCTCTCAGCCTCCCGAGTAGCTGGGATTACAGGTGCACACCACCATACCTGGCTAATTTTGTGTTTTAAGTAGAGATGGAGTTTCACCATGTTGGCCAGACTGGTCGAAAACCCCTGGCCTCCAGTGATCCACCTGCCTTGGCCTTCCAAAGTGCTGGGATTACAGGTGTGAGCCACCATACCCAGCCAATACCCCACTTTTGAGACTGGATTTTCATACAATCACATGCAGGACTAGGAAGCATAATTTAATGCACACTGTCTTGTTGTGGGGATAGCAAGAAAAAATACGGATTTGTAAATTTCTACAGTAAAAATGCAGTGCTAGCACTCAAATCCTCATAAATGATAGCATCTGTCACCATCACTGCTTGTTGCCTCTCCAGCAGCTGTCCCCGCCTATACTCCCCTGCTGGTGGAACCTGAATCAATGACAAACAGAAGCTCAAAAGGGTAGAAAGTCACTTTCCGGTTGCTCTTGAGCCACTGGCAGCCCTGGAACCTAGTTGTTGTTGTTGTTTTCTGTTTGTTGAGCACAGTGAGTGATGCCACGATTGGCTGTGTCCAAGCTACAGTGGCTGGCAAAGCCTGCTGCCCTCCCTCCAAAGGCACCTGGGAAAGGCTGGAGGACCCAACCCACAGCCATGGCCTGGTCTTCCCCTTCTACCCAGGACCTCACAGAGAGCCGTGGAAAGCATGTGCCCTGGTGGCCTGGCTGTGGGCAGCTGTGCCCATGGCCTGGGTCCTGCCAGGCTGCCGGGCATAGCCTGCCCCATCAGACAGAAGCTGCTCCCCCTCCCTGGCCCCTGTAGTGGTGGCGGCAGCCCAGGGCAGAAGCGGGGACTCAATGTCGTTCTGCACACTGAAACCCAGCTGGTACTTGAGGTCTGGCCGCTTGATGAGGACTGTGGTGACTGGGGGACGGCTGACAATGTTGAGCTTCACCTGTGTCTGGTTCTTCAGGCCCTTGATGATGCCTTGGCACGTGGCAAGGGGCAGCTCCACCAGGCTGGTGCCATTGATGAACATGATCTGGTCCCCGATGCTCAGCTTCCCAGAGCGGGCAGCTGGGCCACCATTCATCATGTTGGCCAGGATCACCGTGGGCAGGATGGAGCCCCAGCCTGACTCAGCCACCAACATGCCCAGGATCTCGCCCTTGTGCTTCTCCAGCTGCAGCTCCTTGCAGTTTTCCAAGTTTGTGAGGTCGTCGTTGTACATTCAGAGACATTCGTGGAAATACTTTGGGGTTCTTCTTGGAAAGATTTTCCTCCTGGAGAGATACAAACTAGAGCCCTACCCCATCTGGCTTTAGGACTTTGGGAAAACTCAGAAAATAGCAGAGGCAACAACCTGGTAACCAGACACAGCTGAGTTACTGAACCAACCGCAATAATCAACTGTTTCTCAACTTATTACTTGGAAGGAAAAATAGCCCTTATTGCTTAAATTGCTTTTAGTCTGCTGTTAGGTACTCTATTCCTTGCAGTTGAAAACATCCCCCCAACTGCCTCTCCCACCCTTCCACTCTGGCTCTGAGTCTGCCTACCTTTTGCTTTTGTCCTGGTGTAATCTCTGACACACCCAAGCATACTGCCAGAAAAATGACACGAAGTTAGCCTTTTCTCAATCCCTTTGAAGGCACTGCTCCCACATGTCCTGATGAGAGGCATGAGGCCCTGAAATCAAATTCTCTTAGGAGCCTCTGGGAAAGGGACTGAGGAGGGCAGAGCAGGTAGGAGGGGCAGGCACAGGTGGGTTGGTGACACTGAAGTGGCCTAAGCAGCTGTCATGTGCCCTGGAGGAGCTGCCCCTGACCCCAGGAGGAACCGATAGGCTGTGAGCTGCAGCCCCTCTAATTCCAGAGGTGATCTTTACAGGCTAAGGCTGAGTCTGAACTCTAAGAGATAGTAGCTGAGAGAAATGCCATTGGCAATTTCTACCCACAGTGGCTGCAGAGAGATGGTGGAAGTTTCAGGGAGCCCCTGCAGCAGGGAGAAGCAATTCTACAGCCTCTGCCCTGAAGAATAATGCTCTGTAGGGCCCTGCAGAAACACTGGCAAGGGTTCCATGAAAGATTGGGCTAATAAGGAACTGCTGAGTTGCCAGCTGAGGCACGCTGCTCTTAAATGTCCCCAGCTCTTTGCATCCTCCTCTCCTGATTCACCCTTGACATCTGTGCAGTAGAGAAGAAACTTATTGCTCTGTTATAGTCACCCTTCACTGTAGAAGGAAAATAGCTTCCCCTCACCAGAAGACTGTCTCTAGAGAGTAAAGTCCCCATATCTAGACTTGATCCATCTGTGAAGGTCCCAGAATTCCAACCCAGCCTTCAGATGGCAAGCAGCAGATGCTACCTGGGCAAAGATGCTTATGCCTGCAGGGATCAGCAGGCAGGTCCCATGCAGGTAAATCACAGACTGGCTACTTTCATGAAGAAGTGAAGCTCTTCAAACTATGTGCACCAGAACAGGATGCTTTGTTTATAAACATTGGCTATCTCGAGTTTTCTGAAAAACTTGGAATGGCTCACAAGCCTTCGATAAATTCCAGTTTCTCCAATTCTTTGTGCTTAAGTATATTGACTTAGCACAAAATGAAGTGGAAATGTAGAAAGAGATGCTTGAGTTGATGACAACCAGTTAATGTCACTAACTTGTCTATTGATGTCACTAATCTCAAACCATGGCTAACTTTCCCCAGAGCTGTGCCCATGTAAGCCTTGTAGTAATAACCATAACAGCCGATATGCTGGGATATGCCAGACACCAGGCTCACGTGCTTGTTGTCATTTAATCCTAATGACCCTGTGCAATAAGAATTTCCTTCTTTTTTTTTTTTTAAGATGAACTCTCACTCTGTCACCCAGGCTCAAGTACAGTGGCATGATATTAGCTCACTTCAACCCCCATCTCCCAAGTTCAAGTGATTCTCCTGCCTCAGCCTCTGGAGTAGCTGGGATAACAGGCACCTGCTACCATGCCTGGCTAATTTTTTTGTATTTTTAGTAGAGATGGGTGATCATGTTGGCCAGGCTAGTTTCGAACTCCTGACCTCAAGCGATCCACCCTCCTTGGCCTTCCAAAGTGCTAGGATTACAGGCATTAGCCACCAGGAATGCCTGGCCAGGAATCTACTTTGTGCAGCTTTGGCCAAGTTACTTCTTCCCTTGAAGCTAATAAGTAACAGAGCCAGGACTCAAATGTGGGTCTGTTGGAATCCAGGACCAGGGCTTTAGACCATGGTCCTATCCCATGTCCTCTGAACTGTCCCTGGGAAGCCCCAACTTGCTCCACCCATCCTCACAATATCTTTCCCCTGACATGTTGTCTTTAGGAAGGTGGCTGATTAAAAGGCTCCATTATTTTTCAGGTGATTTAAAAGGGTAGTTGCAGACTCATTAAAGATCAGCAAGTTCATGGAAACCAGGGTGACTCAAAGGTGACTTGCAGTGTTGCAGCATCAGAGCATCTATCTAGCAGTGTGGTGGGCCCAGGGCCAAGCTCCACACTGCTGCTGGCTCTGCCCTCCTGTTTCTATGGTATACAGCAGACTGGCATTACACTTGTCCAGAAAAACGGACATTTCTAATTAATATCCCAACAACATTTTACTTAGAGTGTGTGGTGTACGTGTGTTACAGGGTGTGTGAATGTAATTAGAGTATGTGTGTGTATTCAGTGGCATTATAGCATAAATGATTTACATAATATAAATGAAAGGAAACATCATTATTCTTCTGAACACAGCAATTCCTATGACATTCCATCACTGGCAAGAATTATGCTTTAAGGGCAAATCTATAGCTTCTAAGTCAATAAAGCCATGTAAATTAAGCCTATGTTCACAAAGCTTTTTTTCTGATACCAATCTTCATGCCTAGCCACAAACTATAGAATTGGATTCTGGCTAGGAGGACACTTAAAACTCAAGTCATAGACCTTCCCAGAAAGAGAAATTTGATTCAAGAATTTAAAAATCAATTGTGAATATTTTTAATAAGTAAAACAAGACACCTGAAGGCCTAATATGTGCCACCTTAGTCTTTGTTAGGGCTGCTTTCCAAGCTTGCAAAAGAACATGAGAGAATTTAAAAAATAACCCTGGAATTAAACTGATGTTTTTAGACTTGAACTGCTTTTCAGGGGAGGGCTGTGTGTGTGTGCATGTGTGTGTATGTGCCTTGTGTGTGCCTGCATGTGTGTGCCTGTGTATGTGGGGGCCTGTATGTGTGTGTGCCTGTGTGAGTGTGTCTCCGTGTGCCTGTGCCAGTGTGTGTGTGTGTGTGTATGCGCCTGTATGTGTGTGCCTGCATGAGTGTGCCTCTGTGTGTGTGTGTGTGCACGCACACTTATGCCTATATGTGTGTGTTGAGGACAGTAAAGAGGATACTCCAGGCTGTGAGTGCAAAGAGAATTTTAAAATAAATTTAATTTTCTTTTGTGTGCTGCCTTACAGAAAAGATCCATGTAAATGAAACATTTTGAAGATCCAAGTGCTTACTTAAGAGAGAGAAAAAAAAAAAGGAATTTTAAGGTGCCTATGAGACCAAGCCTTTGTAACCTGATAATTTGACTAGGAATTTCTATTTCTTCTGCATTTGAGCACCACAAGCCAATGATTTATTATAAAACTTTCTAGGTTGTCATTAATATAAAAGTTGAGAAAGCTTGTCACAAAACGTGCATGAGTACTTAAAATCTTTTTCTAAAATAGCCACCTTATTTTGCCTTTCCTTTTGGTTAAATGCCATCAATATGACTTCATTTTACTCAACTAAGACAAAAGATGTGAAAAGTCCATTTACTAAGCAAGAGAGCTATCTACTCTAAATCATTAGTAATTATAAAGAGTATACATATTTCATTATGAGAGATTGGCTATACATTTATTTTCTAACACATTCATTAGTGAGAAATATTGGCTGCAACTATTAGTGGTTGTGTTGGACAAATGATTTATATTTAAAATCTCATTTTGACTTCTCAGAAGCACTTTGGAAGTAAGTGTTTTGTTTATGCTGAAAACCGTGGTTGGTCTGCACCTCCTATGACTGTTTCAGGCAGCTTTTCCCGGCTGAGCTAGCATATGAACCACGTGCTATGTACACTTGAAATACTGCAGGTTTTCTCCCTATGCAGACAACAAAAGTCATGGTAACTTCCCTCTCCTCTGTATTAACAGAATTAGAGTGGAAAGCAGAACTCAGCTGTTAGGGGCCAAACTGTGTCCCCCAAAATTCATATGTGGAAGGTCCCTAACTCCCAGGACCTTGAAATGTAACTGTATTTGGTGATGGGATCTTTAAAGAGGCAATTAAATTAAAATGAGGTTTTTAGGGCAGGCTCTGATCCACTCAGACCTGTGTCCTTATGTGAAGATGAAATTTAAACACAAAAGGAGACATGAAGGATGTGTGTACACAGGGCAACAACTATGTGAGGACACAGCAAGAACGCAGCCATCTGCAAGCCACGGAGAGGGGCCTCGGAGGAAACCAACCCTGCCGACACCTTGATCTTGGGCTTCTAGCCTCCAGAGTTATGAGAAAATTAATTTTTGTTGTTTAAGTCACCCAGTCTGTGACACTTTATGGCCACCCTAGCAAATTAAGACATCAGCTTACTTATCCATTGGGCAGATAGATCTAGTGTCATGCTGATGATTCTCAAAACATGGCAAGCCTTGGAGGTTCAATGTCAGCTTTGCCCTTATCCCAGTAAAGGAGAGCCATCTTCTGTGAGTAATAATTTCACGAAGAACTTTTCTTAAAATTTTGGGAGCTTTTTGACCCATACAGTTATAGTAACTAACTAAGCCTTCAATTAATAATGATAGCAACAATCATCACCGGCATTTATTGGATGCTTTTTATGTGCCAGGCTCTGTACTGCACACTGTGTGTGTGTTATCTGGTCATCATCATTGCAATCATATTAGGCTGATATCATTGTTAACCCACCTTTACAGAAAAAGGATTCTATCTTGCCCATGGTTACATAATTAGGAAGCCCAACTTGAACCCAGGTAGCTTGCCTCTGGCGCTTATGGTTTTAACCTCTAAGCTACATTCACTGGTGATGTCAGTGGCCTTACAATGCAAGCATCTGAAAATGAAGTGATAGCCTTATTTTTTCCTCCAAATAAGTGACTATGATGATAGGGGACCATATTCTCTTCCGGACAGGGCCTGCCTTCTTTCTACTCTTGTATCCTGCCCACCTTCCATGGTTCATGACTGTGTCCTCACCCAAATCTCATCCTGAATTGTAACTCATAATTCCCATGTGTTGTGGGAGGAACCTGATGGGAGGTA